ATAAATATACATACATATCGTTTGCATTATGAGAAGGATCTAATGGAATATCATATTAATTTCTAGGCAGACATTAATATTATGTGAGAAAGCGGATGTACTGATTAATAAAGATGGCCTTCAAACACTCATACCTCCCGAAATGCATTCATTGCGATCCAGGTATAGAGTTGTTGTTATTCTTATGGAACACTGGTTGGGAAATCAAAAACCTGGATTCTAAATAATTGCGGTTGTAAACTTTTGTCGTTATTAGACATCTTTTAAATTATGTCTTTGCCCAATTCTTATGGAGCATTCGTGGATAGGAGTTTGCAGTTTTCTTTCTGTACTTATTGATCGGAAACAAAGATTGGTCAGTGATGTTGGGGATTCTAACACTAGGCTACCTAATTTCGTTTTAGGGTCATCAAACTGTGCAAGACAGTATTTATTGATCCGGAGTGGGGCCGCCGAATTCTGGATAGAGTCTGGAAAAGCTGTTATTATTCGGTCATATGCCGAATACGAAGAGCTGCTCTGAGTGTGGAACAGAAGAATTGGACAGAATTGCTGATTTCAACATTTGTAAAAGAATTATGCGTTTTCGCCAATGACTTTCCACATTTACGTGCAACAGCATGCCTGTACATCGGTGATCTGCGGCGCTATGCATGGCTGATCTACGGGGTGGAGAAATACAGAAATTTGGCACTGCTTTGTTACCGGTAATAACTTGCGAATTAAATTCTCAGCTATATTTTTACTCAAACGAATTTATACTCGAAGAAGTGCATAAGCCTCGCCTTTTTTAAAATAAAAATCATTAAGTTGTTTTTTAATTACGGCGCTTAGTGATTTTTTTTTGTTTTTATACATTCTTTTACGTGATGTGACTGGTGGAATAGATATATTTTAATTGTAATATGAAGAAATGCAAAAGTATTTCGAGGAACACAATTTTGCTTATTGCATGTCAAACCAATTTTAAGCGTTATTACTAAATATTTATTTGTTCCATAACTTATTTTGTAGGAAATCGGCTAAATTAGATGAAGAGAATGGAATTGCGTTGAATCAACTTGGTCTGCTCATTCAGGAAGCCAGTCCAACTTGTGCCTTGCTATATTTTCTGCTGGCTAATAATGCACAACTGCCTTTTGACGGTGCCTATACAAATGTCATTAGTTTGTTAAAACAGCAAAGAGAGCAAAAGAAGGAAGATCCTACGGTAGCCATTCTTGAGCATTGCTTCACTTGTTTCAGGTAAGATAATCATTGTTCTTTTTTGACCCATTTAGGGCTCGTTTCATTTTGCTCATGTGTGTTTTAAATGAAATGATATGACCTTTTCCTTAACTAGGGTTTGGAATAAGGCCTCATCTACTGGATGCAATAGCTGAGAACAGTTGTGAAAGAGTGCGAAAATCTATAATGCGAAAGATCTTCCTAGAAAAACGGCCTTATTCTGTTAACATTATAATGTCATTTAGGCTGGTGCTGTATAAAAACCAGCGTTTTACTACTACGTGGGATATCGCTTAGTTCTTTTTAAATTTTTTTTCCAAATTCTTTTTTCTTTTTAAATTTTTTTCCGTTTTTTTTCGAGTAGAAACCCAGGTTCTTAAATAACATTAGACTGCAATTGCTGAAATTTCTGAACAACTTATTTGGGTTAATTTAGGCAGTCATATTTTGAGGAACTCTCGACAAAGTTATTGGAGTACATGATATCGCAGTTAGAAACTCGACATGCATTTCATGTTGCTTTGTCAATTAATATTATCGTCCTAGCAGCTACTGCTTTGTTAAAAAAAGGTAATTTTCTTGAATTTTCATTGAATTTCGGTCAAAACTGCCTACTTGGAGCTTATTGTGGTCTCTGCCGTATTAGCTGAAGGATTGCCAGAGCAGTTCCTTAGCGCCGAAGTCCTTGGCAAAATGTTCATTTGCAGCTACAACTTTTGACACCTACGTTTTGTACTCTACGAATTTTCCAAGTTGTAGTACTTGACATAATTTATCAGTACAAATTTAGAGGGTTGAAATTTATTAAAGGAATTAAGTATAAGCGACTAACATAATGTAACATAGGATCAGAAGTAGTGATTACGATTTTTTCGGTAAACGTATAGGGGTTAGTTGCAGGGAAAGAAATAGAATTGCGATCCCTAAGCAAGTTGTTCTTTCGAATTTCGGAAGTTACAATTCGGAACCTGGAAGAATGGTATGCAGCAGAAACTGAAGCAGCTGATTTACGAAGACGCCGAGCTTCGTCTTCTGATGGAAGTGTGGAAGGGGCTGAAATAGAGGACAGAGAGGAAAGACATTGCTCGCGGTCCTCATCACTGGAAAAAGATGTGATTTCGGAGGATGAAGAAACATTAGTTGAAACAGACGAATTATCTCTCTGTAAACGAAATCATGAAACACAACATAGAATCCAAACACTTCTTGTTGCTTTACTTCATGCAGCAACTTCTTTAGCTCCGCATGTGTATAACGACAAAGTACCATCAGCACTTCACTGTGTAAATTTTGATGAATATCTGTTTTTATGTCTGAAACTTATGAAGAAGCAGCAGTTGCGCAGCAGCAATTGCATTTTATTGAAAGAGTAACAGAAATCGAGATTATTGTTTGCAGGTAGTTTAAGGTATCTGTGATATCTATTAAAATTGTCTCAAAAAATGTCAAATTCATCGTGTCTTTTAACACTATTAAGTCAGCTCTAAAGCTGTAATCATCCTCCCATTGTAAAAGTTAACAGAGTGCTCTTGCATAATGGATGTTGAATCGAGAAGCCAGTGTAAATGTTATTGCATTGTGCTTTTCGGATATTATGAAGAGTAGTAACAGAACAGAATAGGTTTGCGATTATTCCTATACAAGTGACTTTCTGAACCACTTTGCCATACTTTTACTTTTTTAAGCTTTGAAGTAATTGTTTTTCTAGAACCATCATTTTTTAGTTATTTTCAGCAGTATGAAGATTTTTGTCAACAGTTGATCCAATTTTTAAATCTTCTGGAACTGCATTTGGAGGGCAAATCAGAGAACTTGTGGCAGCTCGGTAGCCTAACTCCGTGGTTCTTACTGCCACGATTTTTGCAAACTTTTGTTTATTCTTCGCATACTCCTGTTGAATTCGATGAATTCTTTGTATATACTCCGAAGAATTCGATGAAAGAAAATAAAATGAAAAATATGGCAAAACTTTGGCTCGCGCATGACACCGAAAAGGTATATAAAACTTTTTTAATTATTCAGTGTTTTCAGGATTTTTAGATGCTGGGCATGAGGTGCTGCACCATTTCTTTTGGGATCCCATGTTTCTCCGCTCGACTGCATTTTAGCAAACCCTTTTTTGGGCATGCAGTTGAGTAAAAAGCTTTGTTTCTTGGATTTCCATACATTTTACAAGTGAACTGCGGCGGAAACTGTTACGTATTCTTAATAGTTTGGCCCTTTTTGTTTTTGTTTTAGCATTAACACCATTTGGAATCTATTGGAAATAATTTAGATATGCAAATTCTTTAAAAGAAAATTTTGAAATGGTTTTCTTTTTTTCAGGAGCACATACGAACATCTTTACCATTATATGTTGTTCCGCAAGAGGATGTTTTACTGCAGCAATTGGAAGTTATGAAAAAGATCCTAAACAAAGATAAACTTTTAGTAGCTATAGCAGAAGGTACATTTCGAAGTTTGGATATGAAAAAAGGTAAACCAGAGGTGCGGAAAGCGTTACGTTGGATCAATGCGCATATATCGAAAGATAATGGCCGTCTACGAATTATACCGAGTTCGACACCTGAAAAGTGTGCGGAAAAGTTATCAGCACAAGCACCGACCACATCCACTGTATTCGTTACGATGCTGACATTATTGCAGGTGGAAGCTAATTCAGTTATCAAACGTAAGCACTTTTTGTTCTTTGATAATTTCATATCTGCCACAGATGTTTATATGTCAGAAAGGCGTTTTTCAGTTCATATGCCAAATCAGATGTCTGAAGTTGTCTGAAAATTTATCAGGTCCTGATTTTTCTTTGCCAATAAAAGAAATCGTATTTTCACCCATTTTATCCCCATTCTTGATCGTCCTTGATCTTGTTTTCATACAAATAGCAGTTATCTGACAAGGAAGTGCTTTCCATTAGTATTGAAAGCCTCTATTTCCAATCCTTTCAATATTTGCTGTTGGAAATCTGGTCCGGTGGCAACGCTTACATCATCGGACAAATCCTAATTGGATTCATGTGTGCGTATATATGAAATTTTGTGGACATATTCAAAATGCTGGAGTTGCTGTTAATAATGATGGGGGTTAGAATGAGAGAGTGTTAAGATTCAGGGAAAGACCAATGCTAGTATTTCGACGTTTCCTCTCCGAAAGCAATTATCACTCCACTCATTTGTTTCTTTCTGGCACATGCAATCATCGGAGCAACAACATCTGTGCAATCTTCCCAGACATTAACACCACTTAGCTTTTTCGCTTTTTCTACCGCATGACGCAAAAGTACCGTGCAAGGCTGTTGCAAAATACGTTTTCTTTCTTTTCATAAAGGTTGTGTGGAATGCATCAAATTTGGAAATGAGATTCTTTTTTGTAACTGTAACTTTTTTAGCGATAATGGTGGAAAATGTTGAAGATTTTTGTGCTCGATATGACAAAGCTGAGAAGGATTTCTTGCTGTGCCACTGATACGTGTACTGAATGAATGATGGTCGCAAAATAGTTAAGGTGATGAATACTTTGATTCATACCTTCTTGTTAAAGTCTTTAATTACCATCTGTAACACTCATCCGTGATTCAGTATCTTCTTTAAAAAGTTCTAAAGAATAGGTAGGAGGAAATCTGATTTGATTATATATAATGGAAGAAGTCATGGTTGATATGTAATTAAACAGAATAATCTAACTTAGGTTTTTAACATCTTCGTCACACTATTATTGGAAGGAAAAATAAATCACATGGATTTTAGTGGGATAATTGTTTCCTTTTCGTTAGTTGCTATATATACATATATATATACATATATATATATATATATATATATATATATATATATATATATATATATATATATATATATATATATATATATAT